GACACATGGGTTACTAATTCTCACATGCAGTGGCGCTCCATAGTTGTATTTATCACCAATAGATGCATCACCCTCGAAAGCTTTTTGCCATATCAGAGATCAGTTCCTCACTCCCTCCTCACATCTCCGTGTCAGACGAGAGCTTCCTTCCTTTATTCTTTATCTTCCTTCATTTTCAAGGCCACTTTACACAAGAAGTTTAATCTATTATCTTTCCTGCTTTTCAATCCTCATTACAACATACGTTATTCGTTATTATGCAATTTCATGCAAATTATATTTAACCGAACTTCGTCACAATCATTTCCTTCAGTCCTTATATTTAGGAACAACTCACTCCTGTTTACCCATCATTCCTCTCCCTCTGGTTCCTCTGTATGTCAATCTAGAGAACGTTAATAGTCAGTAGTACTGCCCATCAGACGCCACAAAACAAATCAAAATATCATTATCATTGGATTGTAAAATGCCAAGAGTTTTACAATTAACCTGACAGAAAGGGTTGATTTAGCTTCATTATCTCAGTCTAATTATGATACATGACTCCGGGTTAACATCCTGACTCAGGGGGATGACTACACCAACCTGTATGTGATATATCTGTGAGCTAAATTATACCATGGGTAAAGTATATTATCCTTTATGTAACACGTAATACCAGGTTCACGTAGTTAATACCAAGGTTTAAATAACTCCGTCTGTGTACGGTGAGTGGTGTTAATAATTTATCTTAGCTGTTATGTGATGCGAGATACCAGGTCCATGTGATTGACATCTTGAATTCGACTGTACATGTTTCAGACTCGGGTGGAGGGTTGGCTTCACGTATCACCTTTAAATATCTTGTAAAAAAAAAGAGAAGAGAAATAGGTCAGCTCAGGGGTTAAGTGAACAACACAGATATTATGCTCTGTCACATCACTAGTTCCGGGAGATTATATCAATATACAGTGTTGTTGTGTATAACGGTGAAGCTGTACCTGCCGCCTTATAAGAGCAGTGGGTCACGCTAGCTTTGGTACTTTCATCATTTTCTGCTTCAAGCGACTGTGAAGCCTTTATAGAGATCTGTAAATGTAACTAAAAGTGAAATTTTCCATTTTTGTCTAACAATTCGGCTGTATTACATTAATGAAGGTGAATGGCATGTATAATTATCAGTAATTGAAAACTATAAAAATTAATTATAAGGACTGTGAATGCAGGCCATCGCGTCGATTGCGAACATTCACAGCAAATGGCAGATTGAAAAGAGAACGATTAATTTACATACGCACCGAGCGATGATGTAATTTGCTGGCTGTCCCCTGGGCTTCACAGTTATAATATCCACGGGGGAGATATTAAATTATGGAAAATGACGCCGATAATTCCCAAAGCTACTTGATTTTATGACTGTCGTTTGCCGCCTGCTGTAAACTCTGCACCGCCACAGCGGGTACAGCAATATCCTGAAATAATACAATTGTTGAGGTGTGTCTTTCAACGCCTGGCCCAGCGAGCTGGCCGAGGCTAACCCAACAAAATTTTACTGCCCATTCGTTAAATGACTACACAGACAGACACAGACATACACATGCAGACAAACACACAATATGGATAATCGCCTTATAGCGATAACTTCTATATCTTTCTTTTTAACTTTTGACCAGCCATAAACGACCTTATGATACATTATGATCCATAGAAGTGAATAGTTTCATACAAAACCTTACCTCAGCTTATACTCAGCTGATATCACCTGAAGATTAATCACTCTAAACAAACCTAACCTAACCTAACCGAACCTATTCCCCCCGAGTACCGTTAAGATGAACGCTGCCTCTACTGGGTGTGTTACATTAGAACAGCATCAACACTCCACGCTGTCACAGGAGCTACTACAGGGAACAACACCGGCGACATTGGATGGTCAGTGTTATGAGCGTAATTTGGGAGTGCTGAGAAAGGCGGTTTTAGTAACTGGGTTATTAGTTGGTGCTGATCACCCAAAGTGTTCATGGATGAGATGAGTGTCCTGAGGTGTCTTATTCATAACGTTATTACATGTGCACTGTAATGATTGTATGATTGTGGCTTACCAGAGAATCGTCTTTTAACTTGAAAATAATATTAAATCGTGTTTTTTTTATAGCTTTTAAAACAACTCTAATGATAATCTGAGGATACACTTCACGCAACACATAGCCAATTATTTAGGGAATGAATAACTGCCTTATCTAGTGAACACAACAGGAAAATAGATTACATATCTAAACACAGCTGGTGATTTGACTGGCAGGCATAATTAGCTTAGTGTTTAGCCAACATACACATCAATATTTCAAAGGGAAAACATTTCATTTGTACTTTATTTTTTCAATGATTCTAGTTCTTTGTGGATTTAAATATATACTCTCTCTCTCTCTCTCTCTCTCTCTCTCTCTCTCTCTCTCTCTCTTACTTAAAGCTAGGTTAGGTTATGTATAAAGCTAATGTATTTACTATATGTATATATCAT